AATTCAAGGCTCATATGGAACTCAGTGAGCTCAGTGATCCTCCCACCCAGCCTCCCAAATAGCTCAGACTAGATGGGTGCACCACCATGCCTGTTATCTTAGCTGTTCACAAAAACAGTCTTTTCACTAGACTGAGTCATAGTGATAGTTAAACTTGACCTACCTATCTCAAATGACAATTGGTGAACGAGAAAATAATATAATTGTTAATTTGCTAGCTCTTATTATTGAAGGTCTGCTCAGGGTAGGGTTGGCCAGATATGCAGAGATGAGGGGTTAGGAAACCACAAAGAAAGAAAGGGAGAGAAAAGAGGGAGGGAAGAAGGAAGAAACTGAATTGCAAATTTAAAGGACTTGAGACTTGTCACCACCAACTCACCAAATATAACACACTAAATGATCAACTCTAATTACAAACATAAATGAACAGAGTTAGTGCCAAGTTTGGTTTTCCATGATTGGTTCAGGAAAAAGCCAAGAAACAGTAAATAAATTACAGAAAGCTGAATTTGTGGAAAATCAACTCACCTGTTAGTGAGGGCAGATGTTTCGACCTGGGACATAGCCTAACCACACAGCAAGGCTCAGAAAGGGGCCATGAGATTCTTCGCAGAGTTCCCATTACCCAATATGGAGAGAAAGAGTCTACAGATTATTTATTTACCCATGTGGATAAGAGAACCAATGTATTAACTCTCCAAATGTAAGTCATAGACAGAAAAAGTCTAATTTTGAAGGTCTCATAAAAAACCAAAAGGTCACTCACTCACAGGAGAAAATATGAGTTCTCTTCTATAGTCTTATTAGACAAGAAAAAAGGTTTAAAAATTACTAATTTAAAAAAGATAGAATACATAGAGGTCAGCGTAGAAGCAGAGTATATGGAATATGAAATATGTTGTGTTTGAAGGTTATTTTTATTTTGCGGAACACTAAATACCTTGCCTCACAGAGTGAGGAAGCAAGATATATCTCCACAAATATAAGGGTCAGTTTTCCTTCTAAATACTCCATGTCAAAGGTCTGGGAGATGGGCTGGGGGTGTGGCTCAGAGGGAGAGCCCTGGCCTAGCATCCCCAAGGACCTGGGTACATCCTCAGCACCACACACAAAGAGGTCCAAATGACATTAATGTAAGGCCCTCTCCCTTCTCATCCCTTCCCCTTCATTCCTTCCACCCCCCACTGCTGCATGTATCTCCAAGATCAGGCAATATCATCAGTTTTTCTAGCCCTCTTAGAAATTATTCCTTTTGTCACCCTATGCAGCTATTTCCTGCTGGGCATATCATTTGGGCTTTTGACTATCCACTATGATGGTTCATGTTATGTATTAACTTGGTGAGGCTGTGGTGCCCAGTTATTAGACCAAAGACCAGTCTAGATGTCTATGTAAAAATGCTTTTTAGAAGTTATTACCACGGAAATTGGCAGATTTTGAGTAAAGTACATTATGCTTCTTAACAGGGGCAGGCCTCATCCAATCAGTTAAAGGCCATACAAGAGAGGTCTGAAGTTTCCTGAAGAAAGAATTCTCCTCAAAACTGTCTGAGTTTTTAGCCTGCTGCCCTCAGAATTTGGATGCCATTTAATACTGACTCTTCCCTGAGTTTCTAGGTTGCTGACCTGCTCTCATGAGATTGGATTTGTCAGTATTATCACACATAAGTCCATTCTCTCTCTCTCTCCCTCCCTTCCCTTTATTTATCTATGTCTCCTACCATTATATGTATGCATTGATATATAGACATAGATATCCCTTATTGTTATATGTATGCATTGATATATATAGAGAGAAATATAGATATAGATATTATAGATATACATATATATTGTATATATCTCCTATTGTTTCTGTTCCTCTGGAAACCCCTGAATAATACATGACACAATCGTCCCTTTCTTTATGCATCATTCTTCTGACCATGCTTTGCCCCTTCGTTTTAATCAATGCTTACTCTGCAGATGTCCTCTGAGACTACACAGGAAGGACCAGGTACATTCATCACTATCTCAGGGAACTAGTATTTAATCCACTGATGGCCCAGTCTATAGCTGTAGGATGACCAACATGTTGGCAAAGGGCTTTGGGAAGGCCCATCCTAGGGAACATGAACAGAGTACTGACAATTTCAAGGACAGAGGCTATCTCCTAGCCTACTAATACATTTTGTTAATAAGAGTGAGCAGGTGGAATGAGAACAAAAGACATGTTTCTCATGCTTTCTTGGGTGCTGAAAGCCGTCTGAGAGCTGAGGGGGTGAGGCAGGCGAAGAGAGGAAAGCAGTGCATTTGTAACCGGTGTGCCATATCACGCACACTGGGAACCTACGTCTATTTATGAAGTCCCCCTCCCCTCTTTCTTTTGTTCGATGGTCTTGATTTTAGATATTCTGTCCTGTGATCAAATGACGTGTCAGGTGTGGCCAGGTTTTTGTTTGGGAAAGCATGGCTCTCTCATTCTGTGCTTGCCTTCCTGTCGCCGTGAGTTCCTGCATCTTACTCTTCCCAGTTCACTTGACGGGCTGCTTACCTCCTCTTCACCTTTGCAAATTATGATCTTCCTTTCATCCATCTCTACTTGTACCTCTCAGCCACACTGTAACTTCCAGGGGACCTTCTGATTCAGGGGCCCCTTCCTTCATTATAGTTTTTTCTTTTAAGTTCATTTTGCAATTATTTTGGTAAATAGACAAATATAGTACACAGAGGAATATAATTATTCTTCCCTTCTGACTGTAAAAGAAAGTAAAACATTCTCATGGGCTTTAAAGTATTGACGGCCCTGAGTACCTACCCTCCCTCCTGATAGATGATACACTGTCCTGGTACCTGCTCCATACAGGTGCCCTAAACAGGAGTCTCTTATCAGTTACTCCCTTATATAATTTTACCCCACACAGTTGCCATGGTCAAATGAAATAATGCACAGAGAGTGCTTAGCAGCTGATCTATGACAAATGCCCATAATTTGAGCTATTTAAAGTTAAAATGACATCAGTTATATACCATCTTGACTATTATAATAGACCTTTTCACCTAGGTCTAGTTCCTTAATTAAACTGAAAACATCTAGGCTAGGAGTCCGATCTAGAGCAGTAGTTCTCAAACTGAAGTGTGTACCTGAATCACTGGGAGGCGCAGCTGAAGCACAGTTGCCTGTGCCCAGCCCCTGGAGTTCCTGAGGGAGGTCTGGGATGGAGCAGATCATTGCACCTCTTACAAGCACTCTGGTAGTAATGATGTCACTGGTCCTAGAGGACTGCTGTTTTAAACGACTGGTCTCTTCCCAAAATCAGCACAGAGGGAAACTTTCTGATACAGAGTGTTATGCAAAAATTAATAGCAATGCCGAGGGGAACATGTGCCCCAGCCTCGCACTGTGAGAAAGTTTCAGTATGATAGGAACTGAGCAGAAAGAGATGAGCAAAGGAATCTTTTCTTTTCCATTGAAAGAAAATGTGCTAGTGGCACAATTGGACAGGGACTGTCATCTGTTGGATTGCAGGGGTATGTGCGAAATGCAGACAAGAAGCCAAACAATAGCTCAGCCAACTCGTGGCTGCCTGAGTTCTCAGCTCAACCCACAGCAATGCCAGCAGGGCTGCTGGGATCCATCTGCTCCTCTTTCTGATAACGGATCTGGGGTCTCTCTGGAAGGAAGTAGCTTGACAGGAAAAGAAAGATTAGGCCGACCGAAAATGTCAGTTCACAAAGCTGCACTTGAATATGGTACAGATTTTAACTCAATACAGCCGTTTAGTAACCCCACATCCTCCTGCAACGCTTTTTTGTGTTCTGTTTTCTTTCATCAAGAAATGTAATTTGCAAATGCCGAAGCTTCCTTGAACACATTCTGTTTCCACACAAATTAAGTTCACAGAATTTAATACTACGGGAAGGCTTGAGACCATCCAGTCCAACCCACTAATTTCACAGACGAGGAAATGTAAGCCTGGGTTTAATCCTAAAATACATAGCTGGTAACAGTAGATCCAGGATGGGATCCAGATTCCTTGACTCACGTGGTGAATGTAGTCCTTTATATTCCCAAACTGAGCAGGAAAAATGACATCTTTCCTCCACTGTATTTTAAAGAGAAATCAGGGTTTCCCCGTTGCTTAATTTACTTTTTACTATTTTCCCTTTTTGTCAATGGGAGCAGGGGGTGGAGGAGTGGTAATAAGGGCCAATGAAGAGAAATAAAAAGTTGAAAAACAGTTTCAACAGAACCAAAATATTGAAGGTGGTAACAACATGCGTTGCCTGCTGTACGCTCCTTGGCTACCTGGAAATGTGGCACAAGGCCAATTCTCAGAAGTCATATGAATGAATGGATGGAGGGCTGCATCCATTTGCCAGTTTCTCAGCCAATTAGGGGGCGAATGTTTCACACAAAGATTTTGAGCCTGCTCTGGAGTCTCCTTATCTCTACCAGAAAGTTCAGTGTTTACATCAGACCAGAAAATGCCTTTTCTATAAGATAGGCAGTATGTCAGCCAGAAACGTATGGGCTTTGGAGGAGGAAAGCTTTGAAGCCCAGAGTGCTTACTCTGGTTACTTAAATCTAGGAGAGTGACAGAAACATTCAGGGCCTTGAATTTCTTCTTCCCCATTTCACCTATTTTTTTTTCCTCCGCTAGCATAAAGATTAAATGACCTGTGCAAACTGCCTTGCACATAGTAGGTGCTGAAGAAATGCAGTGACACTCCATTCCATTTCCTGTTTCAGCATCATATAAGTACTGAAGTATGTAGGGTCGGGGTCAGTATAAGACTTGAAGAAGGTATTTTTTGTTTGGTTGGTTTTTGGCTGGAAATGTGCACAGATTATCATTATGTTCATAGTTCTCTAGTTTTATGGATGATATGCCTTGCAATAAATAAAAGCAACGCTCCTATCATGCAGGGGTTCTTCACATTCCATAACCCCTCACCATTTCCCTGGTTTCTAAATAAAATGATTTTCAAGAAAAAAAATAAGTCTAATATTTTGCTCACCCATTTGGTCTTGGTTTCCTGGTTCCAGGCTCAAGGAACTCTGTCTCCTCCTTCATTTCCCTCTCAGGGATCTTGTTTTTCTGAGAAGGCTGTGGTGAAAGCATTTCCCATTCATTGTCATGGGTGACCGTCTGCAACAGAACTGCATCTGGGACAGCCCTGCCTTGCCTTTTGTTCCTCTGTGATTGGCTGCTCTGACCAACAGAGACTTCCTCTAGTGCTAAAGACTCTAGAGGCTTCATTCCTCCCAGAACCTGCACCTGGGGATCCTTGCCCAGGCTAAGATCAGAGCATGGCTCCACAGTCTGGCAAGACCATCCAGGCCTTGAATCTCTGGCTTCCAATGATGGATCACCAACTTCACCATGGCCCAAGACCATCCAACTCTGGTCTTGTGTAGGGCTTTCAAGAGATGACCTCTTGTCGTCTTTGGAAGACATTTCCTCTTCATGATGATCTTTGTTTTCATGTAAGGAGGCAGGCTGACATGGGTCTGGAAAGTTTGCTAACTGAGTTCCTGGAAGCCCTGTTTCTTGGGATTCTATGGGTGATTCTTCTGATTCAGATATGCTTCCTCTTGCTTCACAGGCCTCTGACTTCAAGGGTGAATTTTTTTCATGGCTTACAAGTATGTAATCCATGTGTAGTACATGATGATCCTCATTCTTGGCTATGCATCTTTCATCCTTGTATTCTGATTTTATCTGCTCAGATTCTTCAGTAGGAATTATTTTTTCTTCTTCTATCTCTAATGTTTCCTGGATGGCACCTAGAAAAAGATGAAAGTGAGATGGGGAGAACAAATCTTAAATAACACGTTGTGTGATTTGGGATCTTTGCAAGTGATTATTTTAAAAATTTAAAAAATATTTTTATTTTGTAGAGTTGTTCAATTTTCAGGGATAGGTATTATGATATGAGCATTAGATTTTGTTGCATTTTACAAGCATTGGCTAGCATGCAGAGCAAATGTAGTTAGTTTCTCTTTACCTATATTGGTAGAAAGAGTATATTTTACAATCGCACTAGTTTAATTGAAGCCAGCAGTTTCTCGGGAGAGGAGGAATGGGGAGGTTTCTTACCATTTGATGGTCCCATGTCGCCACCTGCTGGTGGATCAGAATTATCTGTTTCTACTTCCCAGTCAATATTTGATGGTGATAACTCAGTGTTGGAGCCTGCCCCTCCTACAGGTGAAGAAACTGATTCAAGGTCTTCATGAATATGCAGTACCACCAGCTGGTGTCCAGGCTGTCCATTTGGGGTCTCAGGGTGTTTTCTCTCATTCTGATCAGGAAGGGCGGAAAGCAGCATCTCTGCTGCTTCACTCCCCAGAGACACATCCTCTGGGGACCCAGGTTCCTCTGTTCTTTCAGCACCGTGGGTAGGTTCTGTGAGATAGGACAAATCAAAGGGAGGCGTGTAGGGTGCCAGCGATTGCTTCAGAGCATCTTCCTCCAAGGGAGGGTCACCACCATAAAGAAAGTGTTCAGGTTCTTTCATTAAATCTTCATCGATATTCTGGCCCATTACATCATACTCAAAATCACCCCACGAGGCTTCAGATGAACAGATCTCTTGCTTCCCTGTATCCCCATCAACTGGTGTCTCGGGATGACCTTCCGATAATGTCAATTTACTCATGTCATCTATTGTTCCTGTAGAAGTGTTGAGACCAGAGGCATCACTGAAACTATGGTCAAAGGCAGCTTCACCTACATCCAGGCAGGTGTCTGAGGCCAGCAAAGCATCAGTAGCTGTGGCAGGATTCACAGGAGCAAAAGACGGTTCATAGCTAGGTGAAGCTCTTGTACCTGTCTGACTTTCAGGAGAAAAGTTCTCTGATACCCAAAAGCCACTGCCTTCTACAGGTGGCTCCTGGTGAGCTACAAAAACCCTAGTTCCCACATTTTCAGTCCTTGGGATTGAAACTTCCAAAATTGGTGCTGAATCTAAGCCAATTCTTTTTTCTGATGCTTTTAAACCTGTACTGTCATCATCATTCATTTCAGGAGGTTCTGGAGAACCTTTATAAGAGGGAGGCTGAGATGAGCCATCTATATTTGCTTGATTGCTGATGGGAGGTAGTGGAATTACATTTTCAGAACAGAGCTCTGGGTTGTATGGGATAGATTCCTGCCCAGGCTCCTGACTAGGTTCTTCATTCACCTTTGGCTCAGCAAGATAACAATCACTGAGTTTCACTTCAGGTCCCATGCAAACACTGACGTGCTGCTCAGTCTCTTGCTTTGCTTCAGAATCATGACATATATCAGGGCTGTTGGAGGCCTGAGAATTGCTGTCCTGGTCACAGTGAGTTAGTATATCAGGATTCTCACCATCTGGTTTTACACTGAAGGGCTGCTTGACATCCATCCACAAGTCAGGCGAAGCTGAGGCCAGCTGCCTACCCTCTTGGAAGTTGCCATGCAAAATATCTGGAACAAAGGGACCTTGGGGGCTCTCACTAGGGCTGGAGCTATCCCATTCAGAGCCTGATTTCTTTATCAACTGTGTAGGGGAACTGACAGTAGGGATATTTTCTGCAGCAATGCTGGAATGTGTCATTTCACCAAGGTCTGGTTTTTCTTGTTCCCACCAATTTGCTTCTTGACATTCAGCAGTTGAGGTATTGGCTATAACACATTCATTTTCATCTGTGGGAGTAAATGCTGGGTCCGGCTGGTCCCAGACGGTCAGCATGGAATCCTGACACCGCTCTGGGGTGGGCATTTCAGAAGGAAGGTTGTTGCCAGTAGAAGATATGAAGGTTTGCTCTGTGGAATCCTTATCTTTAATTTGGTCCAATATTACAAGCTGGCTAAACGGATCAGCATATGGGTCTGGCTGTCTTGGTTGAATGTTCCAGAATTGCTCATGGGAGTTGTCTCCATGATCATCCAGAAAGGGTGACTGAAGTTTATCACTGAAAGGATTAGTACAGTATGCTTCTATGGATTCCATATCACCCTGCATGGGTGCTCCCCAGGGACCCACACTTTGGTAGTCCGAAGAATTCATCTCTAACACAGCGCTCGAGTTACACAGCTTCCCTTCAAATGCACTTGTACTTTCGATTGATCTCGCTTCGGGCGGAGGGGCATTCCACCACTCGTTGCCTTGAGCTGAAAAGCCATGCATTTCCGATCTAGAATGATCCTCACTCTTTGGTTCAGTTTTGGGAGATACTTGCCATACGTCATCTCTGGTCCTCTCTGTCTCTGGAGAAGATCTCCTGTCTTCCACTGCTGTGATCTGTGCTTCAGTCTCTGTGAGTGGTGAGAAATTCCACTGATCAAGGCTGCTTTGCAAATTGTCACAGAAAGGGTTTGACTCATTTTCATTCCCTGCTGGTTCTGAGCTGCCTGCATTGTCTGAAAACTCCTCGGGCATGGGATCCACCGTGGCCAAGGAATTGGATTCAGTTAATGAATCCCAAGCTCTGGATTCACTCTGAGCCACCTGACAAGTGACCAAAGGGATCTCTTTCTCTACTGATACATCATCACCTATACCATCCTCATCAGAGTCAGAGCTTGCTCGAATGGCCGTGGCGTCCTCTGGCTGCACAGATTCAGGAATGTCACATTCATTTTTCTCCTGAAGGCTAAATGTTACATTTCTTTCCAGATAATCACCTGAATAGTCAGAATATTTTCCTGTTTCAGGACTGGATAAAGAGGATAGGGAATCACGATCCACTGAGTCATTCCAAATCTCTAAAAATTTAGGAACCTTGTGATCAAAGCTGTTTTCAAGCCCATCTGTTCTGCTTTCCTCCAAATCTTTCATTTCAGAAATGGCTTCTTCTTGGCCCTCAGTGGTGACTGGTTCCGATTCTTGGTGATCCTGCTTACTCCATCCATCTCCATCCTCTTGCTGATGATCCACACGGGGTACATGGCCCCAGGGAGACAATGCAGCCAAAGAATCATTTAGGTCAGGACTCGATGCACTTGAGTGAGTATACCCACTAGAAACACTATTTCTGTCATAATCTCCAGATGAACCGGTTCCTGGAAGGCTGTTGTCAGTATCCTTAGCTTCAAGATTCTTAGTTATCTCAGAGCTCGGGTGATTATCCTGCACATCACTGTCTGTAGGGCAATCCCAAATATCCAGGCTTTGGGGAGATGCTTCTTTTACTCTTTCTGGCTCCAGAATGTTATATTCTTTAGTTTCCTCAGGATCCATTTCAGATAAAGATACATTTTTTGTTAAATTCATCCCATCTGGAATCTCAGTAGTTTCATCTGAATTTCCTTGACTTATGAGGGACTCTTCATAGGTCTCCTTTGCTTGCAGGTTGTTTGTGGACATCTCTGTTTGTGTATCATAAGAGGTTATATTGTAAGATTCAAACTCTAAAACATCTTGTGACTCCTTGGTTTGAGGACTGAAAGTGACTGAAAGAGAGCTGGTTTTGCCTGATTCGGTGCCGACTTCTTCATGTTCAGATGCAACTGGAGAAGAGAGATCATTAGGCCCTTTTCCATAAATCCCTGAAGTGCTATCCATTCCCAGATCTACTGGATCCCCTTTATCAAGGCTCCCCCTGTCCACGGATCCTGGAATTTCATTCTCAGTTTCACTTTTTTCGTAGCTGTGACTTATCATCCATGGATCTGAGTGGGCAAAATGTCCTGGACTCTCAAGCCCGGTCACCAGGGATTCTGTGTCACCTTGCAGGGCTGCTGTCCCTGTTTCCTGGTTGTCAGGATGAGTTGTAAGTGCTGCTGACTCACTGATTCCAGAAACTTCCAGCACATCTCGGGTGGGACTATTCTTATCACTTGCTGAATGGCTGGGACTTTCAGGAGGTAAATTGCTTTGTTCTGAATCCATAATATACGACGGGTCTGGCAACTTCAATGATGACACATCTTTATCTCTTATAAAAGAATCCCAAATACTGTCTGCAATCAGCTGCCCACTCTTCTCATTCAGAGTGTGATATTCATTGGGAGCAGTGTCCTTGGTGTGCTCAGATTGGGGAAGTTCCCAATCTACCTGATTCGCTTCCTGATACTCTGTGCCCCATGGCTCCAGCTGTCTTACTGAAAATCGGGTTTCTGGTTCCGTACTTTCAGCCATATATCCCTCTGCTTGGCCATCACTGGTGATCGCCACCCCCCCACTGCAGTCATCCCAGTCCAAGTCATTGTCCATATCCGAAATGGTTGCCGTGGACTGCGTGTCCTCCAGAATGACTCTGTTCCACAAGTCGAGGTTGTCAGAGGCTGCCTGGTGGGAGTTGGTGCTGCTGTGCAGAAGTGTGAGCTGCCTGTTGGTTTCATTGTACATCTGCATCATGCTGGGGTCGTCGTAACTGGACTGGCTGCTTTCCGCCATGTCATCCTCCATGGAGGCGTCCTTATCATCTGTGTGCTCTGTCCTGAGTAAATCTTTACCTGGGTCATGAGTGGCATTTATTTCAGGACCACTATCTGCATGAGGTGAAGCCCACATGTCCAGGTTCCCAGGACCAGAACTGATTCGATTTCTAGGTGGTTGCTGTGGCGACTGCGGAGGAACTTCAGGCTCTTCTGTGGTGCAGTCATTTGACTCCAATCCTGCCTCTTTGGCAAATGGCTTGTTTTCAGTTTCTTTTTCGTCTCCAGCAAATGTTGGTGATGTGTAAGAGTCAGAGGTGGAGTAGTTGGTATCTAACGGAGAAGGCACTGAATCTTCTCCCATATTGGATGCACTGTAATCAGAGCATTTATATGATAAGAAGGAATCTTCCCAAGGAGCTAAGACATCTGACCCTCCTTTCTTAATATTCTCCTCAAAAAGTCTCCAGGAATCTACCTTTTCATATACATTCCCTCTAGTTTTAGGATCCACTAAACCATGCTGATCTTCTCTTGGTAGCTTAGAATTATTCCATGCCTGTTCTAAATCAGAACTGGGATTTCCAGATACAACAATATTCTCCCTGGAGTCATTGTTTTTCTTGCCCCAGATTGTTGGAGCTGCTTCGTTATTTATCTCACTGGGTGAATGGTCCTGAAGGTCTTCTGAAGGAAAAGAAAACCCACTTTTTGTCATGGCCCACTCATTGGGGTCCCTCGCAGAAGGTGTCTCACTACTTGTTGGGTGAAGATTCCAGGTATTTTTTAGAGCTTTGGTACTATCTTCATTACCAAATGCACTCCAGGCTGGAAATGACACTGCAGTTGCCGGTTCAGCATCATTTGTAGACTTTCCCCAGGGCTCAGGCATTGTGGTGGGAGAGTGGCCAGAATGCCACAAAGCAGCAAAGTCTTCTATCAAGTGGTTTGTTCCCTGGGGGGAAGCATTTGGCAGATGTGACTTCTCAGTGGGCAGGCTCTGAAACTGCAGACTTTCCTCTTTTTCGTCTTGAATAGCATTGCTACCCATTTCGGCCTGACCAAATTCAGACCTCCAAGGATCTGACTTTGGGAATTCAAGATTCTTTGGCTGAAATGCAGAATCTGAGACTCTCCTATCCCCTGGGCTGGGCTTATGATCTTTCCAGGACTCGGGGCTCTGGAAGACAGATTCTTGTTCGCTGGAACTCCACGCATCAGCAATATTTTTAGAATCCATTTCCAAAGCACCCCACCAGCTGCTGCACCGTGCACGAGTCTGAGGTGGCCCCATGTGCCCTGTGTCAATTGCTTTGTGGGTTATGTCTTCTGGATATAGTGGGACTGGCTCTTCAGTGGACGGTGAACTTTCTACAAAGCTATTCATAGGTGTTGGTGGGATCCTTTTCCCAGTATTTTTCAGTCTTTCTGGTGAAGGAGAGTCATCTCCCATAAAACCTGTCATGCTCAAATTTCTTTCAGAGCTGTCTCCAAGACTTTCTTGTCTCTGGGCAAGCTCCTCATCAAATTCCACAAGGCTGTCTTTTCCAGCCTCTGACAACAGTGAACTGGATGAATAATTGGACATGTTGATCCCGATCTCATCAAGTCCTTTGGGCCCAGCAGCAAGTTGACCCTCTGATGAATCACTGTTGGGGAAGTCATCTGTTGGGGAGTAGTCTGCGGAATGGGAAGATGGCTGGGACTGCCCAGAAGCCATGGGTGCTGAGTCAAAGTTGAAGAGGTCAAAGCGTTCCCCATGATCCCCAGACCGGGCATGCTCCTCTGCCACTGCCCCTTCGGGGATGGGACTATAGGAGTCAAACCCTGGGAGGAGGCTGTGGTGAGGCCCTGCACCTTCTCCCACGGGACTGTCATCACTGAGGAACACTGAGCTCTCCTTGGATGAACGGCTGCTCCGAATGGTGGCCAGCCCGCTATCTGGGCTAACGAGGTCTACGTTGACATCCACCTGAGCCTGGTTAGAATCATTGAGATCTGGAGGGTTTTCTATGAAGTTCACAGAGCTGGGCTGTGGTTCTATGTCAGAACCATACAACTCCATAATCCCAGAAGAGCCCTGGGAGAGGGGGGCACTGCCTGCCACGGCTTCTGTTGAGGATGTCCGGCTGTTGGAGACCATCTCTGGACACCTCCTATTGATGACTTCCTTGATGAGGAGAACCACCTGATCACAAGTCACCGATGGGTCCTCCTGCTGGTACACCAGGATCTCATCACAGCCACATTCGAAGGGCTCCAGCTCCAGGCAGGGGTTCTGACACTCTTCCAGCTCACAGCAAATCTGAGGGAGGCACAGAAGTCTGCATGAGCACTCAGGTGGTCTTTGCAGTTTGCAATTTGTCTTTCTTACTTTTTTTTTTTAACATAACTGTAATCTGTGTTCATCTATCTAAAAAGACCTCAAATGACTGAATATAATTCGAGACTTGGGAAACCCCACTTAATCTACCACCAACCCTTTAATTCTGTGAAACTGCTTCTCATTTAACTCAAAATCCAGCTGATTCACTGGCTCGTGGCTCTCAAAAGTTACAGGTACAGAGGTTTAGAATCATGTAAGTCCTTTCCTACATGCAATATGAAGGATCTGCTGCTAAGAGCTTTGATTTGAAAAATACTATCGTGGAGGCTTCCAATGTCTAAATCTTGTCCCTAGGAAGCCAGTAACCAAAGATAAAAATTCAGCTTTGAAACCAAATGCAGAGTCAAACATTGAAAGAGCCACAAGCTGGTGACACAGGGTGCACAAGCATGTAGGTCAGAGGAGGAGGCACAGATGCATCTGTGGCAGGGGCAGGGGGCTTCTTATCTGGAACAGATAAGCACAGAGAGCAAGCTAGAGCACATATGGTGTTAAGAAAGCTGATACAGTGCTCTTTGAGGACAGAATGGGAGGATATAGGAAAGAAAGGAGGCATTGCTTCCAGCCACCTGGGGATGCATGAGGCAGTGTCTAACCTATTAGTGAGGGACGGTGAGGGAAGAAGCATTTGATGCCCACATGTTTTCTCCTGTAACGAGTCAAGTATGTTCTCACATTAGAAATCAAGTGCACTGGCTTGATATATCCAGTGGTGTTTTATGATTAATTTTTTCTAATTATTTTTTATTTCCTAGACCTTGGGTTAAAAGGCTTAGCCATCAACCTAGAGGATCCAACTGTTAACCTAGTCAGAATCTTAGCTACCATCAACTAACAGATTAAAGCCTCAGGTCACCAGTTACTAAAGCCCGAGCAAAAAACAGAAACTAAACCTTGTTAGTTATTACCGAGGAGCAGTCTCAAAAGGAAACAGCACCCCAAGGTAAACTTGCTCTTATTTGAGATAGCAAAACTTGATTTCATGGATTCGGTCTAGAAGAAAAATTGTCCTGGAGCTCTGCCATGGTCTGGATATGATTTGACTGTGTCCTCCAAAAGTTCATGTGCTGGAAGCTTGGTCCCCAGGGTGGCAGTGTTGAGGTGGTGGGGACTTAAAAGTTGGGGGTCCTAGTAGGAGGTTATAGGTCTTGGGGGCATCACCCTCAGAGGGATTTATAAAGGTTTCATGGGATTAGATTAGTTCTCATTAGAGTGGGTTGCTATCAAGCAAGTTCAGCCATCTCAACGGACTCTTCTGCTTCCGGTGTCACCGTGTCATCTCTTCTGACTTCTCCCATCAGGGTGACACTATCTGCCTTGAGGTCCTCACCAGACCCCAAGCAGATGCCAGTGCCATGGTCTTGAAACCCTAGAACTGTGAGTGAAATCAACTTCTTTTCTTTATAAAGCCTCGGGAACTTTCTCATAGCAACCCAAAATGGACACAAGCTCTTTTAAAAGGTCCAATGCACAAAATACCTCCAGCATTTCCTAAAATTCAAACGCTAGGACTCTATCTCTTACATTTTATGCTATCTCTTGGAGTCAATTTCTTACAAGATACAAATCCACTCCCATTTCCCACCATGTGTTCTAGAAGCCAGCAGGTTAGGATGCAGTAAAATGGGTTAGGGTCGAAGGAGGACTCACCTGACTGCACAGTTCTAGGTTCTGGGAATACACAGCGACCTGCCTCCTTGGCTGCTGCTCCTCTGATAGGTAGCTAGCGAACAGGATGAGGACATCATAACCAAACTTGTCTGTGAATGCTTTCAAATCACTGGTGATATTGCTGTGAAACAGACAATTCTGAAACAACAGGACATTTGATATTAATGTCAGTCTGTGAAGAGCTGTGCCACAAATACGTCCAATCTGATGACACATTAGGGACGATATTTATAGTTAGATTTAAGTGAGATGAATAGTTTGCTTTGAGAAAGTTTGACAAATTTTATGCTATGGCTTAAAATACACTTTACTTACAGGTTTTCCCAAATCGATGGAGGAAGGACTCTTTGCCATCATTAAGAAATAGCATTAGATTAGTAACAAATAACATCTTTTTCTAAAATACTTATTCAAATCCTTACTTCACAAAGCATATTTATTCTTCTTATCATTTATATGAATGTGGGTTATGTTCATAATCTAGTGCTAGAAAAATAGGAGGGAATTAGTGTTCTCTATAAAATTTTCATTTTATATTTTTCATTTTTATAATTAAAATTTTAAATATTTTATATTTTATATTTTTATAATTTGAAAATTTTATTTGATGACTATTATTAGTTACAAATAGAAATTCCTGAGGATAAAATTAGTTGAGTTTACTGAGTGACTTTTACTGTAGCATAGGAGTGCAGAAGATGTTTATTTATTTGTTTGTTTGTTTTGTGTATGTAGTCCTGGGGATTGAAAACAGTGGAACTTTACCACTGAGTTACATCCCAAGCCCTTCTTTTTAAATTTTATTTTTATTTTGAGACAGGGCCTCACTAAGTTGCTAAGGCTGGCCTTGAACTTGAGATCCCCCTGCTCACCCCAAAAGACTTTTATAAAGAATTTTGACTTCTGGTCTACTAGGTCTATGTGGCAGCTATGGAAGAATGAATAATTTCAGAAAGCACCCCAAACTGTGGCCCATATAATTCACAGAAAATGTGCTGGTCTCTTTTCTAGATTTATCTTCAGTGAGAACCACTTTGTCTATGTGATTCTCTTCCTGAAAGAAGTACAGTGAAATCTACGTGCTAGCTCCTAGCACAACTGGCACATACTAGATGCTGAAGAACTATTTATTGCATGACAGGAGAGACACATACACAAAATCAACCTGTGCTGCACAATTCTGTATCATAGCTTACATACATGCATAGAGTCAGTCCCCTATATCTGTGGAATTGATCAACCATGGATCACATATCTTCTGAAAAAGAAACTTACATATGCACAGACCTTTTTCTTTGTCATTATTTACTAAGCAATACACTATAAAATTATTTACATAGCATCTACATTATATTAGATAATACCATATAAGTCATATACATTAAATAAGTAATCTAGAGATGATTTCAAGTATAAGGGAGGATATATGGGGGTTATATGAAAATATTATGCCATTTTATATAGTGGACTTGAACATCTGCAGATTTGATTATTCAAAGAGGATCCTAGAACCAATTCCCCATGGACACTGAGTAATGACTTATACATACGTACCTACATATGTGTGTGTATCTATATAAAAATCACTGCATATAATCAATCAACTAACAGTCCATTGTGCTAATCAATAAAAAACATCATGATGTCCTCTCAAGAGATTAAACAATTCTATATTTTTTTCTGATCATAGTAGTAATCAGAATTATTCCTGCTGCTGGTAAAACAGATTTTTAAATTAATTATTAATTAGTTTTTATTGGTGCATTGTAATTATACACAATAATGGTATTTATTGTGATGTACTCATACATATGCACATACCATAATTTGGGCAATCTCATTACCCAATACCTCCTCTTTCCCTCTCCTCCTCCCTCCCATGCTGCTGGTAAAATACTAAGGCAATACAGAAATGTATGCCATGGAGAGTGGAAGTACATGGGCTCCTCCTCAGTTAGCCACTGTGAAGAGCTGAACAGTGCAGTACACACAGTTGCAGTCTTTGTCCACATTAATGTTTGTCAGAGGCAGCTCTTTGAAAATGAAGATTTGGTATTAGAGGATTGGACTATGTACCAGACACCCCAAACAGCCATAATACATGTACTCTGTAATTCTGCTGAATTGATGTTGAAGTCTGTGGGGCCCTTGAGGGAGTACATGAGACCCTGGCAGGTGTGCGGGCCCTGCCAATCACAGCCTCTCCAGGAGGCTTTGCTGTCTCTTCTGTGGCAGTTAATCTCCTTAGGTGTCTTACAAGGCCACTTTTCCTCTCAGGCTACAAGGAGTTGCATGTGGGAATTCACAAAGGTCTCAGGCTCCATTGCTGATGAATAAGTTTATAATGCTCCCTTACAGTAGCTTTTGGAAACATGTATTCCATAAACCATACTGTCACCTTTCATGCTTTTTATTTATTGTCCAAACTGCATCCTAACAATCTTTAAGTAGATTAAACAAACAAATTTACCCATGGTAGAGGTTGATATTTAGAATGTGTCTTTTTTTTTATTGGACCTCATCTTACACATAATATGAATTTGACAGAAAAAAAATATTTCAAATCGTCATTGGTGATCACGTATAACCAGAGAAAAGAAAAGCTGTGCTACAATTGTGTACAATAAATCAAAATAAATGAATCAAAATATATTCTTCTGTCATATATACCTTTTAATATAAATAAATAAATTAATTAATAATAAAAAGAACCTCCATGCTGAGCTTTTTGCAATTATGAATTATGAAAGATCTGGTCCTGAAGAAAAACAGGAGTGAACAACAACTTCCTACATCCTATCTTCAGTACCTAAAGGCTTTGGCAGGAGAAACCCTACAATTTTTCTGTCCAATTTTTTTCATTATGTATATAACCCTCCTTACATTTATAAATCCTTGAAAGAAGACACAAATTTCAAAGAGATTTTCACATATAATAATGATTATCACTATACTCTTGGCTGTCATTCAAACAAGAGAGGGCAGGTTTTGCTCCTATCTGAGCACAAGATTCAAATGCAGAAGAATCAGCTTTATTCAAAGCCACTCTTGGGGACTATTTGTTATTCCAATATATCAGCTGCATTCAACCTGTCTGGATTCTACTGTGTTATGCTGATGGCTCTAGATTTCCTATCAGACTCCAGCCCAGTAGCACCCAAACCTGGCATCTTTTAAAAAATGCATTGTCTGGCCATGTGCAGATCTACTGAAGTCCACTCTGCCCTTTCCACTCAGCCCAGGTGATTCCTTGCACACTGAAATTTGCAAAGCACTGCCTCAGGGAGGCACTTCTCAATTGATTTATTTCCCTGCAAACCAGTCCTCTGGGCTCTCAACACTATCACAAGGCTTGTACTCACTCACACCCTCCGTCCTGATTCCTCACACTAGCATCATCATAAAAAATCACGCTGGGATGTGTATTTCTGGGCAGCTTGCTAGAAATTCTTATGTAGCAAGTTGTATTAGAAAATGCAAGCATCTGTATTTTCATCATGTCTCTCAAAATGATTTTACAATCACATCTAACAGTGACACATTGTCTCAGTTTTCCTCTGGGTAACCCTGAATTCCACAGAATCAAATGAACTATTAATAAAAAAATTACACGAATCATTTTGGCATATTAGACAAAATACATTTTACAGTAACGCCAAAACAGAGATTGTCGTCAATGACGCCCTATATACCCTAACATAATTGTTCAAACTGGATTTCATCCTTACTGGCCTTAGGATAAGGTGAAGAATTTCACATTTAGAATAGAATCAAACAAGGGAATGAGTGAGAATCTCAGGAACCCGAGCAGCACAGTCTGTTTGTTCTGCTTTTATGCCGGTGCTGTTTGCATAGGACATAATTTATTATTGTCTTCTAGCTATGCAGGGAGTCCTGTGCTGCGATGGCTCTTATGTTGCTGACAAGCTAGGCTGGCCCTGAATAAACAGCACTTCATCATCAACACAACACAACTGTAGATACAGGTTGGCATTTTATTTCCCCCATCTGCCTTCTACCTGATAAATTACTGTTTTAGTTACATGTATACAAATACGATTTGTTAATCTGCTCAAACATCTCCAAAACATTTCTCCCACCTTAAGTTAAAATTATATACGTGCGAGCCACCATGTTGGTAAACTGACGTCACCACACCTGTTTTTGACTGACCGCAGCTCATTCAGCCATAGAACAGGTAATTTCAGGCTGCAATTCGCCTGCGGCTTGCAGACAGATTGCTAGGGTTCAGCGCCTGGGGGCTTCTTAAAATCTGATCTTATCGGAGTGAACACGGAGCGCGGGGCGGCCGAGTCCCGGCTCCCGGAGCCGTCCCGGAACCGCCCTGGCTCCGGGCTGCGGAGCCTGCGGAGGCTGCTTCTTGGACCCTGCTAATATCAGAGCAAACACGAAACACCAAGAGGCCGAGTTCCGGCTCCCGGAACTGAGCCCGCGGGGACTGCTTCTTGGAGCTTACACTTATAGGAGCTTACACCGAGCACAGAGCGGCCGAGTTCCGGCTCCCGGAACCGTCCCGGAACCGCCCTGGCTCAGGGCTGCGGAGCCCGCGGAGGCTGCTTCTTGGACCCTGCTACTATCAGAGCATACACCAAACACTAGGCGGCCGAATTCCGGCTCCCGGAACTGAGCCCGCGGGGGCTGCTTCTTGGAGCCTACACTTATAGGAGCTTACACCGAGCACGGAGCGGCCGAGTTCCGGCTCCCGGAACTTCCCTGGACCGGGGCTGGGAGCCTGCGGAAACTGTGTCTCGGTCCGGGTCCTGCTGAGGGCAGGTCAGGACTCACCCATTGCTTGGGTTGCCTGGCAAGGGGAACGAAATGCTGCCATTCGCATAGGATACCAACATGGCAGAGATCTGATGTCAGCAGAAAGCGGTGGAGGAGAGATCTTCATCAATACCAGCGGTGACATAAGCAGTTGGTCTCCTGGTAAGGGGGGTGAGGCTCAGTCACCCGAGTCTCCTCAATTTGTCCTCGAGCCAGAGGGAAGGAGCCGGGCCGCCGCCAGCCCCCGGAGCAGGCCCAGCGGCTCGCCAGCGTGGTGACCGCGTGACCCCAATTGGAGAGGGGGCGGAGCGGAGCCGCCACCCACACCCGCCAGGTGGGCAGACCCACGA